TGGGGGTTGATAATTCAAAAATGTTTGTTGGTTTTTTTTCATTGCAATTTTACAAGCTTTAAAAAATACCTTTTAATATAACTTTATCCTTCATGTTTTTAGACATAACAGTTAAGGTTGACAGAGCTAGAGCAGCGTCCATGGTGGACAAGGTCTTCTCATTCCTCTTTTGCTAAAAGGTATTATTTCAAGCAGTCGTTCTCTGGTCAAATGATAGATATGAGCAATGCAAGAAGAAAAAACTTTTGATTTGCCATTTTAAAAGGGCACCCAAGACCAAAAGGGCAGGGACAATTGCTCCCTGTGCCCCTTCATGTGCATACTCTAGCAAGTCAAGTAAGCCAGGGTGAAGGCTTTCCATCCTAGAATTTCAAATGAGATCAGAAAACACTCCAATTATAAAGGGCGCTTTAGGGCACCAGAGTGGCAGCCATGGCTCGTACTTTCTACAGCTGATAAGAGAGTGATTTGCTTGTGCAATGCTGTTTTTGTGGGCTTGTTCACACCAAAATTTAATTTGCATAAATCTCTTGTCCTCTTTCACATTCATCTTTTGTCAATAAGGCAAAACTCTGCGGCTTAAGCAACGGAGGTTAAGAACATGCAGATTGCCCTGTCAGTGCAATCTAAGTGAATGTGAAACTTTATACATTGTGCATGATATTTAAAACTCGCATCCTTTGGAGAGAAAGGAAAACTGTATATCCCGAGCTATTAATTACACTGAAATTACATTCTGTGAGAACATTTAATATACCAACACAAAAACTCATTAAAGACCCAATCCATAATTACATTCAGGCGCCCTTACGTTGAGGCACTGTCAACCCACAACTGCCTTCGCTTATTAAGTGATTTATCAGATTGATGAAGTTATTTCACTCTGGTATTTATTATGCAATCGTTAATTATGCAGTAATGTTGATATGGGGTGAAAGTATGCAGGTGCTTAAAAGTTTTCTCAACATTTTTAGGCTATAGATGTGTGTAAATTAAAAGGTTTCCTGTCACTAAGGCACTGCAGTTTCAGTGGCAGTACAACACAGTGACAAAAAAAACATATGTATGAATACACAGGGCTTCCTCCAGAAAAGTTGTCAGGCCAGGCGGCAAGTTTATTTTGAGGGGAGCCAACAGCCCATCACAGTCAGGCAGCCAAGTGTTGGGCTTTTTTTATTTGTAAAAAGTAGCATATGGTCTCATATGCATATGGAATATGATACAGATTTGGTCTGAATTCATGTAGGGCTGCCCCTGCCTAAGAATTTTCCTAGTCGACCAATAGTCATCATTTAGGGCCGTTAGTCGACAAGTTGCCCGCATGTTTACGATATTAATTTAATTATTAAATGATATATTTTGGGCAACACAATGGTTTGAGTTGAAGGTGTGAGAAAGATTAGTATCAGTAACATTGTTAACACTGTGCTACATTACAGAGAAATACAAAACCGTACTAATGAACCTTCATTAATATAGGCCTATATTTTATCTACAAGTGCACGTCACACACTGAGCGAGCCGCCTGTTACTGACGCTGTGGGCTAATGGGCATGTAACTACTTCCATGTTTCAGATGATACGTCATGTTTGTAGTCGACCAATGAAGATGAGTTTACATATCACCTTGGGTTCGTCCTTCACCTTCTCAAAATGATCCCACACTTTGGATTTCCTGCCCGACATGTTATTAACTAGCCTGTGGAATAACCGCAGGTACCAGCCCTGGAAATTAGGGGCTGTACACGTGCTGCATCTTTAAGCACCAGGAAAACGTGAGGTTGAGGGCTGGGTACTACTCTTGTGCCTTTTCTGTGCCAGCTTTCAAGAGCACGGCAGCAGGTTTTGTCAATTATCATATAGTGTATTTACCTGAGTGCAGAGCTGATCTTCTTCCAGGACCTGTTTATAAGTGTGTAGACCTATCGTCTGTGGGACAGATATAAAGCTCTGGGTAGCCCTGCTCTAACATGATCAACTTTTCCATATTTATCAGACTGAATATTTACAGAAGAAGAGAAAGATATCTGTCGGCTGTCATTGGTTTGTAACGTGACTCCTGTTTGACTGCTGAGCGTGGACACCTCCTGTGTCTGTCCTTTCAAATTAAATTCCCACATAGTCTGGTCATATAGGTTTTGGTTTATTTTGACAAGCCGCAGCTCTTAATAAAGTCTCACATTTGTTTGTTTGTTTGTTTTTTCCTTGACTAAGCAACCAGTGAAATCTTGCCAACTAATGACATTTCAGGTCGACTAACATTTGGTTGACTATTAGGGGGCAGCCCTAAATTCAAAAGTGATTGAAAATGGGGAGCGGCCTGTAATGTTGCCAAGGACAAAATGTGTGGGAGAGAGCTCGTTGAAGGCTTATCTTCCATTGCTGATGAAGAGGAGTATGTAAATGGTTAACATTAGTGACACAATATGAGCAGTTGCAGAGTTTTGACTCCTCTTAGTCAATATTATAATGAGCTCACTCACTGTAACTCCAAAGGTCGGCTGCTGACTCATTTGCTAGTTGTAACTGTGACATTACTGTTAACATCAAACAGCCTAATGTTACCTAACTCTTAACGCTAACATTAATACTCGCAGGCTTATCTCACTGACTTGGGCCAGAGTCCTGCACTGAAGGGTACCCGCAAAAACAGCTGATGTGCGGGTGGGTTTTTTTTTGTTTGTTTTTTTTTTTAATTTTCCCAGGTTCAGATCTGGGTGGAAAAAATAACACGCGGGTCGGATCGCGGGTTTTAGATAAACACATCAAAATTAATATGAAATAATAATTGAGCTAAAAACTAATCTTTTTAGTTATTTCGGTCATTGGTTCAGCTGTTTACACGCGTTTCACCATCTAATAACACAATTTGTGATTGGACGAGAGAATCAACATGACTGCCACCGTCTAACAAGCGCCGCTTCCCAAACAGTAAATAATTATTTAGGTATTTGAGAAATAAGTGGATGAAACGTACAACTATCACTTTATAATGTCTGAAGTGTTTCCCTGATGGATTACTTCTCTCCTCGATGGATTCTAAAAACACGTGACAGCTCATAACTGCTGAACATCGCTCTGGACAGAAAGTAAGTCTATTATTACACATGTAAAGTTCCTTTACATAGATTAAAAGTTTAAAAGCATTAAACGTAACAAACGAGTGCTTTTACACTCGTATGGGAGAAGAACACAGAGGGTTGATGATGGAGCTGAAGGTTTTTATTGTGAGAGCTGCTTCATTCAGGTCATTGTTTACTCACTGGCACCTTAACTGTGGCGATATGCTGTTCAATATTCAACCAATATGACCCAAAATGATTACTTTAAATCCAGGTTACGGGTCGGGCTGCGGGTCGTGTTTCAACGGGTCGGACCGGGTTGCGGTACTAATTGGCCTGATGCGTGGGTTTGCGGTTCGGGTGTAGTTTTGTAAGTCCCCGGGTCGGGGCGGGGCAGATCTTGAAAATCTGTACCATTGTGTGTGCAGTCAGTTTCATTTTCATCACAGGTCACTGTAACATCAGCAGAGTGTTTTTCTCTACTCTTAAGACTACTGATGTATAAAACAAGTTGCAAAAATACACTTTCTTAAAAATCCCTGATGCTTAGGGCGGGTGTGGGTCAACTTGCGTGCCATCTGGCTTGCAATAAACTGTTGGAAACCTGCATGCATGCAAAAAAAAACCCCTCTTTGGATTTAGTTGAAAAACCCCAAAGGGCTACCTGCAATCCAATAATATTTTAAATTCTGACTATTCCAGAAATGCTCGCCTCTTTTCTTCCCTCTGAGCATTTGTCTTGTGTAGCTGATAGTGTATGGAATCTGCCAACATTCCCATATGTGTAGAGGATAAAAAGGAGAAGAGGGCTAAAAGCAGCCCTTGAGGAACCCCTGAAAAGAGCTACTCCATCTGGATGTTAATTATTACTGACTAGCTTGTGTCATTCAAATACCTAGGGAGAGCTGAAGTGGTATAAATGGCATCACCAAGAGGTTTGAAAATCCAAAGTAATATTCAAATTCACATTCAGAGCATGCCGACAATATTATTCCATGAAACACAGCTCAACATGGTTTGTTGACTATGCATTTCACTCACTAAGCATTGATTTTCCTCATGCTGGCACGGGGAGCCAAGTAAATGTAAAAACATGTAAAAATATGTAAATAATATGAAAATATGGCAAAAATATCCCTTTTTCGAGGCATTATTTAGATGCTTTGAACTCAAAATACTAAAATATATTCAAATTAATCTAATGACACCTCCCCTGTTGGGAAAGAGGGCACTGACAAAGCTAACCAAGGTGACCCCTGTGCAGATGGGCTTTCCAACTGGATCAGCAGGAAACTGACCTAAGAACAGCAACTGGTTTCATGTTTCTGAGAACTACAGCAGGTTGCTTACCCTTTCAATTATTTAAATACTTTCTATATTAAATCAGTCCTCAGGTACTGGGAGACTTTATTTGTTATGCAGAATATCCTCCTTCCTCATGGCAGCCTCAGAAAGCTCTTTTTTCAAACCGTCCCTCTTGGCAGCGCTGGTCAAAGGCTGCAGCCTCCCATGAGCACAAGACTCCTTTGACCCACATTGCTTTTCAAAAGCTTTACTTCGAGCCACGCACCATAGCTACCAGAGGGAGGGGTGAGAGGAGTAAAATGGACACAATTATGGCAGACATCAAAGCGGCTAGATTAAACACCTGAGCACATGGATGGTTTGTTCATTTGTAGTCTCCATTTGGATGGGTATTTAAATATAAACGACTTGGTGGCTTTGACAGTCTTAAGGGGTGCTGTGGAGTGGCTTGAAAGGGGATGTGCAGTTACAAAATGCTAAACAGCTTCTTTTGGGGAACAAAACCTGACAATGAACGATCTCCTGTACCTAAATAATGTTTTAAAAATCTTACTGAATTAACTACAGTATGTTTATTTTTTCAGATGCAGATATCTTGTGTATTAAATCTCATCTTTTGTTCAGTGTCCTTACCTGTGAGAGCTCGCTGGCATCTATTTGACCATTGTTATCTGCATCAAAGCGCTTGAACATCATATCAACCAGTTGCTTCCTGGCAGCCATGTTGTCCTTGTGGGCCCCATGGATGTTAGACCCCATGTATCGTTTGTCATGCAAATCCAGAATCTTGTTTTTCAGCCGACGGTAGTCACTCAGTCTGCAGTTATCATCTGGGAAAGAAAGATAAAGGCAGAGGCAGGATGGTTAGAAGCGGGGGAGAATATTTGTAATGAACTTGTAACAATTACCACAGGAAGAGCTGAGAGGAAAGTATGTTTTTGTTTTGTTTGGAGTAACACATTTTTTAAAAAATGTTAACGTGACGTCTGAAAACAGATACTTCATAAATACCTAAATGACTCTCAGGTGCTGAAGAATGTGCATAATTAAAAGCACTGAACTTATGATTCTTAAAATTGGATGCAATGTTTCAAATGTCAGCCAATTAGTACCTGTGAAAACTAGAATCCCCCTGAAGACTCACATTATTAAACAATAAGCTGCTGTTTATATTCAGCAAAAAACCCAAATCTGAGCGTGTCTATGATTGTCTGAATCACAATAACAAATGCTAAGGATTATTCTCCCGAGGGGGAGCACAAACAGTGACAGTCATGCAGCATTTCACTGCCTTAAACTAAGAAAGCAGCAGCCGCGTCACCACAAAGAAACTGACGAACAAATCCATCACACTGGTGTCAAGAGCTAACCCTGACAGCAACAGAAAACATGATGGTGTTGTATTTACAATCTGCCATCAAAGGCATGAGATCAAAGAAGTCAACTAGATGAAAGGTTCAGCCGAGTAGAGTCGAGGCAAAGAGAAAATAATGACTAGAACTACAGGTTGACACGTCATATCAAATTCTCATTGTTAGATCTGGAAGTGTTTCTCCTCTAATAACAGTTATATTAGCTGATGTCAACCAACCCACAAGAAAAACTTTGTTGTTCTCCGAGATGTTTTTCAAATCTCAGGGGAGGAAGTTGACATCACTGCCACATCGCACATACCTACATGTGGAAAAATATGCTACATGGAGTCTTCTGCAAGAAAAATGAACTTTGTTGAGGATGATCAGGCGAGAATGATTTAGTGAGAGCGGTAATGAGATCTTCACTCAGCAGAACTGAGTGCTCGCTGACTAGTTAAGCAGGATCGCACTAACCCTGGAGACAAATCACATGTATGTGTAGAATCTCATTTTTGTCTTAAAAATTTCTTCAAGCATTCCTTCAGCCAAACAACTTGAGCAATCAGCGAACATTTGAATGAGATGTTCGATGTAATCCTGATGCCAATCGTCAGCGGAGTATGAGAGGCTGAAAGAAGTTCTCCGAACACTCTGTCAGTAAAATCAATGGGTTTCCACAGAGGCTATTAAGCGATTTTCATTTTCATCTCAATTCTCTGTGACCTTGTAAAGTACAAAGGTGTAAAAACTTCATTCCCTGGCATTGAAATATTTAGTATTGTGACTGAGAAAGGTGTGAGATGCAACAGTTATGAGTCTCTCTTTGGTTTTAAACCCTGAGAAATACAGGACTCATTTGTGGATCTTTTCATATTCACCACTTATAGACAAAGAATTAGTGTAAACAAGGAACTTAACTGTAAATTAAACTGATTAGAGATGATTTAGTGAGCTTCTTAGTTCTGCATGAAAAACACCAATTTTCTAAGGGAAGACTGAAGAAATTATCCCAAATTCGTTTAACCACAGATGGGCGGGAAATAAAGGAAACACCTGAAAATGAGTGGAGAAACATGATGAATGCAAATGCCACCACGCTGGAGGGGTCACTGAGTTTGATGAGTATGAAAAATGATGTGAATCATATGCTGTGACCTTACACAGTCACCAGCCCTCAATCCAGTTGTATACTCATGGGAAATTTAGTGACGATGTGTTAGACAATGCTCTCTGCCACTATTATTTAAAAACACCAAATGAGGGAATATGTTTTGGAAGAATGGTGGTTAGTCTTCCAGTAGAGTTCTGGTAGTTGCATGGGTCCAGACCTTGGACTTCACCCACTCTACCAAGTTGAGTTCGTCAGGTTATGACATGAAACAGCAGTTTCTCAGTTAAAATAAAAATGTAACATTGTTCTCTATGGTGTCTATGTTTTGTCTAAACATGTAAAAATATGTTAAGTAAAGAGTTAAAAAATTGAAAATTAATCGTATCATCTTATCAATGCCACAAATGGGACTAACAGTGTTACCAAGCTCTTGTCAAGCTGTGTCAGGGTGTACTTTAACCAATGAGGAGCAGGGTTGGATATCAGCACCAGCCACCAGCTAAATGCAGGTGAAATATACAAGTGGCTGCTGGATTTGCTTTGCTCATCAGCCAAAAAACCCCCCATAGTAATCCACTGAGTGGCTCGTGGATTTCGAAATCCACGAGTCACTGTGGCAGGTGCACAGATAAGTTAATTTCCAACCCTGATGAGGAGTAATAACAACAATGGCAGGTGCTAAAGACAAGATGAAAACTGCTTTTGAGGTGTTTTAGCAATTATGCTAGGCCATTACTAAAATAAAATATTAATGAAAATAGACGAGATTCCTAAACTGCGCCAAATCTGCAGCAATAGTTCTGGCTCGCTGGGAAGCCAACAAAGCAGCTGCTGAGTTCCATAGTCAGCTTTGGGGCGCTTCCCCATCCTGAAACTGAACCCTCCAGGTATGCAGCGCTCTGTTGCCGGTTTCAGACCTCAATGGCTGGCTGCAAAGCTTTGTAGCACTTTTGCCGTTTGTCTAAACCTGGCGTTCTCACCCAGATGTGCTCTTAGGTACCGACATTTGGCACTGACCAATTTAACACAGATCAGTGGTGTCGATGACAAGTTCGGTACCCGGCCTTAGTGCGCTGTCACAAAAACAACCCCTAAGTCCTGCACTGATGACATATTTTCCTTCTACATGCTTTTCGGGGATGCATCAGGATGCATTAGTGTTTACACTACAAAAGGTGTGTGGTCAAATGCGTCCTGGACCACCTTGGCAAGAAGTTTGGGTGATCAGATCACAATGCATCTTAGTAGTCATTTACACTTGTATTTAGTGCTATCTACTTGTGCATGGATCACCCCAAGATGCATTTCAACACCAGGTATAAACAGGCTCTGTAAAATCACAGTCAGAATCACCTTTATTGGTCGAGTATGTTTACACATACAAGGTATGTGACTGTTTTGGGGGGTTTTTACATTGCTTTCACTGTACTTACACATAAATAGACATAACAGCCAGGAACTAGGCCACAACAAAGAGCGCTGGCGCTGGAGGCTTGTGGCGGCCCAACACTTAACTAGGTCACTTTATGTTGGTTTTTCCTTTAATCTGATGCCCCTGTGTTTAAAGGTCCCAGCTGTTTCCAGGCTGTACAACTGTTGTCCAAAATGGAAATCTCCTCTGTCAATGCTTTGTTTTCTAATAACAACGTGGAGAACTAAATAATTGAAAGCTCACATAGCCAGGTGGAGAGAATTAAACATAAGCAAGGAGCTCAGGAACACCGCTTCAGTTTGTTTAAGCAGGTACACCTGTCAGCGAGAGGCACACTGAGTTGCTGACAGATGTTGGAGCTGCATGCTCAGTCTGAAGCTTCATGAAACTAGCAGAGTGTGAACAAACAACAGTGGTGGCTGGTAAGCTTGTCGTCTCCATGAGCCACTGCAGATAGAACACCAACAGGAGGATCTGTTGAATTACAAAATCTGTTTTGGCCGTTAAAACAATGAGAGTGGCTGGTGAATTCTTGGGAATGAAACCAGCAAGTTGTATTCTTGCCGTGGAAACTGCATCAGCTGCTGGTGCACAGGCTGTTCAGGCTGCAGCATGCTGCACATCATGGGACAGGGTCTGTTTTGACAAGCGTCAGTGCCAGAGAAGCTGCCTTGGTCACAAATGGCAGAATGAATAAAAGATAAATGGCTGCTGGCATAACCAGGGGATATGAAGGTCAGCAACGTCAAAGGAGCATACACTGACACACGCATGCACACCCACACATGTGTGCACACACAAAATGGACAAACACATACACACTTACTCTTACATACGGTCTCCCCATCCCCAAGTATCTAAACAGTACATGTCCACACAGGGGACTGTCAGCATTAATTAGACAATGGCTGCTATAATCTCTCTCAAATCAACTAAACCAAAATATCTTAGTCAAAACAGGCCTTTCTGGAAGTGGTAACAACTCAGCAGAAATCTATTGTATACTTCAGTCCAATCAAGATCTACTGATAGGATTCTCAGTCTTGTAAAACCCAGTCTTGGGTTGCGTAGGTGTCTCAGCCACCCAAATTGCTTTCGAGCTGGGACACATTACACTGCAACCTGCTTGCTTACACCATATAACAGGTTGGGTAATCACTCTCACAGAAACGACGTCAGTGATTTTATCTAGGATGCTTTTTGATAATATAGGGCTGCCCCACTTGATGATGATAATGATGATTCAAAATCATCAGATGAGAAGCCCAGGTTTTGGTTCCAGGGTTAAAGGACAGTTCACCCCAAAAGCAAAAATACATATTACCTGTAGTGCTGTTTATGGATCTAGATTATTTTGGTTTGAGATACCAAGTGTTGGAGATGTTAGCTGTAGAGATGTCTGCCTTCTCTCAAATATACTGTAACTAGATGTCACTCTGTTTGTGGAGTTAAAGGCGTCAAAAAATAAATTTGAGAGATTCAACAGTAACCATGACCTGGTTACTCAGCACTGTCCACAGACCTTGTTGTGAGCAATTTCATGTAGGAACTATTTTCTTTCTTCCAAATTACACCCCACCAGCTGTATCACCATGCAGAAGAAAGCTTCGGCTCATGGACGAGAGGCCCATGTTCCTAAGCATGCATGCTTCCTTCTGTGCAGTAACAGGGTTGGCAGGTGTAGTTCAGTAGAAAGAAAGCACTTCCTGCATAAAACTGCTCTCAACAGGGTCTGTGGATTACCAGGTGATAATTTCTGTAAAGAGACATTGCTGTTGAGCTTTCAAATTTATGTTTTTTATGCTTTGAAAACGATGAGCCGAGTGCCAGCTAGTTCCATTATAATGGAGAGAAGGCAGACATCTCTACAGCTGATATCTCCAACACTCAGCAACTTGCACCCAAACAATATAGATTAATAAATAACAACAG